GGGGGGGGGGGGGGCTTACCATCGATTCACCTTTACATGTATGTACACATGTGGTGATGTTAGTCTTTTGTGCTACCAGGGATTCACCTATACACGTATGTACACATGTGGTGATGTTAGTCTTGTGTGCTACCAGGGATTCACCTTTACACGTATGTACACACGTGGTGATGTTAGTCTTGTGTGCTACCAGGGGTTCACCTTTACACGTATGTACACATGTGGTGATGTTAGTCTTGTGTGCTACCAGGGATTCACCTTTACACGTATGTACACATGTGGTGATGTTAGTCTTGTGTGCTACCAGGGATTCACCTTTACACGTATGTACACACGTGGTGATGTTAGTCTTGTGTGCTACCAGGGATTCACCTATACACGTATGTACACATGTGGTGATGTTAGTCTTGTGTGCTACCAGTGACCAGGGATTCACCTTTACACGTATGTACACATGTGGTGTCGTGTGACTGTTAGGCTACCAGGGATTCCCCGTTACACGTATGTGCAAATGTGATGTCAGCCTGGGGCAAAAAAAAAAGGGGGGGGGGCTGCCAGGGATTCACCTTCATGCATATTTCAACTGTATTTAAAACTAGAACGAGGAAGGGGGATCTATCACGTTTCAATGTATATTCATATATTATATTTAAATATCTTTGTGTTTTGAAATCTTTAAAATAAGGGTAAGGAAGGCTGCCGGAAATGTGTCCGAAAGAATTTTTCTTGTGATTTAGCTATTGTAACATGGGATTTATTTACGACGGCACACCACACAACTGCCTGGGGGGTGCCCGTTACAGCTCCAAGTGTTACTGCTTTTTTTTTTTTTTTTTTTTTGGTTAGAATCCCTAGACTTTTTAAATCCCTTTACTTTACCAAATGAAAATCCTTGTCTTGCTGGCTTTGGTCCGCCATTGGGCATTTTGTTTCCCCATTGCCCGTCATCTCTGGTGGGCGCTCCCCTATCCGTCTCCTTGGGGAGGCACCCGGTGGAAAATGAACCACCCCGCATGAGGAAATATATTAATCGATCATTGTGACACATCTTGTCATGTGGATCTATGTGTTGACACAAGATGTGTCGTGGCTTATTATGTTGAAGTATGCTGTGATGTGGACTTTAAACTAAAATCGATATACGTTTAATCTGGATTATTATTATGTGTTCTGTTCTAGATTATGAGGTACACCAAAAGAACCACAGAGCCCAACTACGACGGGGCCGGGCGCAACACGAGGTGGGCTTTCAAACCCATGAGAACGTACTTTGCTAAAAATAACGAGGTCAAGGTTCAAGGACCCTATACCACGTGAGTATATACCTAAAATCATCGCGAGATGTTGTAATCTACGTCTGCGGGTGTCAGCACTTGGTCCTCAAGTGTGAAGGTTGATGACGTATGAGTTAAAGGGGAGTAACATTGTAAGGTTCTGCAAAATGCAAGGCTCCGCCAAGTGTGCTCTTGTGAACAATTAATTATTGGGTTGATCTTAAGGAACACTTTTATAAATAGGGAACGAATTCTGAAAATGAAACACAGTTTCAACTTTTGCCATGAATCTTGAGAGCTGCTCCAGAAAAATTGCGATGGTGATTATATTAGTGAAAATACACAGCTCCATACACTTAAAATTATGTCTACGTGGCATAGATCGTAATCATTATACAATTGAGCCCGCATAATTCCTGTATACCTATGACAATGGTTCTCAACCTGTGGGTCGCGAGTCCTTTGGGGATCGAACGACCCTTACATAGGGTTCGTCTAAGACCATAGGAAAAGACATATTTATGACGTAGCAGCGAACATAATTTTATGGTTGGAGGTCACCACAACACGAGGACCTGTATTAAAGGGTCGAGAAGGTTGAGAACCACTGACCTACGACCTATATCTGCATTTCGTGATCTTTATATGACACTATTTGTTGCACATTTCCTACTATAGAATCAATGTTCCAAGTGACCTGTACACACTTCTACACTTCCGCTACTGCAAGAAGACGTGGAGAGGATGCAAGGAAAGGGCGAGAACTGAGGACACCGTCATGTTGAAATATGAAAGACAACTCCGGGAGAACTTACTGAAGCTTCCGTTAGACGACATTCTGCATAACAACACAGGCTATGTTCGCCATTTAAAGAAATGGAAAGAGACAGGGAGAGCGAACCATAATGGCCGCTCTTAGATAATGTCACTTCCTATCAATTACACATTAAAAACACGTTACAATGTACAATGATCATTATAATAAATGCTCTCTTTTTTTTAAATTGGAGTTTAGCTTAAATTATTTTTATATTTAGATTATCTAACTGCAGTTTGTATCTAGCTCAATCTTCAATCTTTGCGCACAATCTCCCCTTCCTTTTACAACAGACCCACCCCCCCCCCAACCCCCAATTTGTCGTATACTCTTTTTTAATTTAAAAAAAAAAAAAAAAAAAAAACTACTATGATGAATATGATACACGTATTCAATACACGCATTCAATACACGCATTCAATACACGTATTCAATACACGCATTCAATACACGCGTTCAATACACGCGTTCAATGCACGCATTCCATGAATACTTAGTTCTGCTAAAAAGATGTGTTAAAGAAATTAATGATATAAATGTTAATTTATGTTGTTGTTTTTTTGTTTAACTGTATGACGTACTAGAAGAAAATCACAGTGTTAACAGGGGCAACTGAATCTATTGTTTGAGAGGCATTGGTGCTATCGGTGATGTCAATAGTTATCGTGTAGCCTGCCTGGGGGTATGCATGATGTCAATAGTTATCGTGTGCAATAACAAGCCAACATAAGAATGGACTCGTTATCGTCTAAAATTTCAAGCCTACATCCTACATATGATTTGACTTGTTATTGTGTAACATGACAAGCCGACATATGATTTGACTTGTTATTGTGTAACATGACAAGCCGACAAATGATTTGACTTGTTATTGTGTAACATGACAAGCCGACATATGATTTGACTTGTTTTCAGCTAAAATAGCAAGCCTATATTTGCTTTTGACTCGTTATTGTGTAATATAACAAGCCAAAATAAATTTGACAAGATGTCGTGTAATGTGACGAGCCATTACATGATTTGACTTGTTTTCACAAAAATGTCGAGCATATATGTGATTTGACTAGTTATCATGTAACATGTCAAGCTAATATAAGATTGGACTAGTTATCATGCATCATGTCAAGCCAATATAACACAAGACTATTTATCATGTAACATATCAAGGCCAATATAACATTGGATCAGTGATCATGTAACATGCCAAGGCCAATATGTCATTGGACCAGTTATCATATAACATGTCAAGGCAAATATATCATTGGACTATTTATCATGTAACATGTCAAGCCTATAAAACATTGAACTAGTTATCATGTAACATGTCAAGGCCAATATAACATTGGACTAGTTATCATGTAACATGTCAAGCCAATATAACATTGGACTAGTTATCATGTAACATGTCAAGCCAATATAACATTGAACTAGTTATCATGTAACATGTCAAGGCCAATATAACATTGGACTAGTTATCATGTAACATGTCAAGGCCAATATAACATTGGACTAGTTATCATGTAACATGTCAAGGCCAATATAACATTAGACTAGTTATCATGTAATATGCCCAGCCAATATAACATTGGAATAGTCATCATGTAACATGTCAAGCCAATATAACATTGAACTAGTTATCATGTAACATGTCAAGGCCAATATAGCACAAGACTAGTTATCATGCAATATTCCCAGCCAATATAACATTGGACTGGTTATCATGTAACATGTCAAGCCAATATAACATAGAACTAGTTATCATGTAATATTCCTAGCCAATATAACATTGGAGTAGCCATCATGTAACATGTCAAGAAAATTTAACATTGAACTAGTTATCATGTAATATGCCCAGCCAATATAACATTGGAGTAGCCATCATGTAACATGTCAAGAAAATTTAACATTGAACTAGTTATCATGTAACATGTCAAGCCAATATATCATTGTGCCAGTTATCATGTAACATGTCAAGCCAATATATCATTGTGCCAGTTATCATGTTACATGTCAAGCCAATATAACATTGGAGTAGTCATCATGTAACATGTCAAGCCAATATAACATTGAACTTGTTATCATATAACATGTCAAGCCAATATAACATAGAACTAGTTATCATGTAATATTCCTAGCCAATATAACATTGGAGTAGCCATCATGTAACATGTCAAGAAAATTTAACATTGAACTAGTTATCATGTAATATGCCCAGCCAATATAACATTGGAGTAGCCATCATGTAACATGTCAAGAAAATTTAACATTGAACTAGTTATCATGTAACATGTCAAGCCAATATATCATTGTGCCAGTTATCATGTAACATGTCAAGCCAATATATCATTGTGCCAGTTATCATGTTACATGTCAAGCCAATATAACATTGGAGTAGTCATCATGTAACATGTCAAGCCAATATAACATTGAACTTGTTATCATATAACATGTCAAGCCAATATAACATTGGAGTAGTCATCATGTAACATGTCAAGCCAATATAACATTGAACTAGTTATCATGTAACATGTGAAGGCCAATATAACATTGAACTAGTTATCATGTAACATGTCAAGCCAATATAACATTGAACTAGTTATCATGTAACATGTCGAGCCAATGTAACATTGAACTAGTTATCATGTAACATGTCGAGCCAATGTATCGTTTGACTAGTTAGCGCCTCACCCAGTGCTTCTGAATTAACTACGTAACTGCAGCCAGGAGGAGCTCATCGCCGATTGTAAAAAAAAAAAGTGGGTGGGGTGGTTCTTTCAGACCATCCACTGTGTTGTTGTGGGGGGGGGGCACAGAAATGTTTGTCAGCTAAATCCATGGATTATTTTAACTGTCACTGGCACATCATCGACATTGAAGGAATTGTCAAGTCCACGTGACACAACCAGGCACTTTGTTGAAACGAAACTGTATTCACATAATAAAGAATCTTTTAAATAATATCACCTACAGCACAAGATATATGTTTATTAATATATATATATTGGATATATCTACACTGTTCCTCACAATTATTTCATAAAGGATTATCTAGAACACGACCTCTCAACATGGCAACCTTTAGTCTTGTGGGTTATACGGAGGTGTTGCGAAGGGGCGGGGGAGGGGGCAGGGGGTCAGAAGTCCCCGGGCGCCAGCCAGTTAGGGGCGCCCAAAATGTGCATTGATATTATTTTATTTGTGAAAATAATGGGTTTGAGAGTTGGAAAATAAAGTAGGAAAAGGGGGCGCTTTAAAATGAATCTTGGTCCCCGGGCGACAAACACTATAGCCACTCCTCTGCGGTTATACCGATACACGTATGTGTCCCAATTGATTTCATCTGATATCAATTTAGCCTGCATAAAGTCACCCTGTTGCTAAGTGTTACACACTCTATAGTGACATCATGCATGATGCACACAAGCCCTATGTTCCTCGTTGATAGATATTTGTGGAGAAAAAATACAAAAACATTGTGGGTAAATTTTGAAGCTGAAAATATACGGTATAAAGTTCTTGTTTGCCTTGTAAGGATGTGCTCTCTGCAGATGTTCAATCAGCCAGGAAGGCTTCACCACCTCATTTTATATTTAAAAAAAAAAAAAAACATTTCTCATTGATGCACATTGACAACTATTTTGTTTGTTGGTACTTGAATAAATCCATACATAAGATATTCCAAAATTGTATGGTCTACATTTAATTGTTGGTTTCTCTGCTTCTGACAGTTTGATTGAAAACGTTTATATATATATATATATATATATATATATATATATATATATATATATATATATATATAGGTAGAG